TAACAACAATATTTACGTTCAATTTTTCAAACATATATGACGTGTTTGATTATTTAATCGAATTTATTGGCTTCAATTTATTTACAAAAATAAATTAAATAAATAGTAATCAATTTAATTTCCACTCTGATCAGAATCCAAAACAGCTATAAACTTGTATAAAAAGTTAAACAGACCAAAATCAAAAACTCAACTCAAACAACGGAAGACACGTGCCGCTGCTGCTGCTTTTATGAGTTGCTACATTAGAAGATGTTGTACCTACCTAGTGTTACAAATAGTCAGAGTCAATATTTTACTTACCTAAAATGTTTAGGTATTTGTTGTAGTAGTTGTATTTAGGTCGTCAAGATGACATAGGTACTGAAGTTGCTACCATTGGACTAGAGTTTTAGGCATTCTACCTCTTTGACGGCGTAAAAAGTCGCAAAATAATACATGACCATCAGTACGATTCACCTGATGAATATAAATGATTATTATTACGTAATAATAATATTATAAATCAGTTGGTCAAAGTGTTGTTATTAGACATAAACCAATAATTGAATTGGTTGTGTTTACGATTGATGATTATCATCGCATAATGTAATATCTCTGACTTATGATATTTATAGTGTATTGAATAATTCTCAAAAATAGATGAGAAATTAGATTAGCATACCTACCTACTTATCCCTGACAGAAATTCGTAATTAAAATATTATTATTATGATATTATATAATCGATGAAACCATAATAAAAGTATTATTTATAAAAACAATGTTGGTTTATGTTTAGAATGATATTTTTTGAACAAAAAATCTGCTCTTTTGATCAATAAATTGATTCGATGCATTTCAAATTTCACCAAACAATCAAATAATGCTTTCAATCAATACAAACAGTCAAGGTCTAGCAAAAATGTATTGTTTTATAAACATATTTGCTTTAATTTAAAGCAAAATACTCCCAAGATTTATGATATTACCCATTTTATGTATCTTCAACTGCCTCAATTATCAGCACGACCACCTATAGCTATATTGCCCAACGATTTTAATTCATTCAATATCCATGTTGACATCAAAAATAATATATTATATTCTCATCTCGACAAAAATGTGTTTAATATTTTACTTCCCGGCGGCGTATTATCTTTGTTCAAGTCACAAGTGTATAATTTTTGTTTCGTTTTATTTATTACTTATAGTTTATAAACTATAATTTTTCAGATGATTTTTAACTCGGCATAATATTTTTAATTGTAAAATCCAACGATTATTGTCGTACATAGTTCAAATAAATACAAAMAAAATAATTATTAWAATAACATGAAAAATAATCGTTTCAAAGTTACCACTGGGTATCTTCCCTAATCTCATTACTCATATTATTCTTATTTCTCACCTATCAAACCTACTTATTTTACTAAGGAAATGTATAGATTGTAGATTACTTCAAATAAATTAAAAAAAAAAAAAAATCTATTCGTAATATTCGTTATAATATTAAGTTTAACTATTGGGTAATTTCTTGATTAAAATTAATTCATATAAATAAAAAAATAATTTAACCTAAACCACATAATACACTAATTTTAAATATCATTACAGATTGTAAAATAAATTGTATTAATTAATGTAAAAAAAAAGTGCATTATGATTAACTTAAGATATATTTCCGTACGGTAAGTCATATTATATTGTAATACGTGTAGGTACCAAATGTAATGATCGCTAATAATAATAATGATGAAAAATTCTTCCAGTGACATACGAATATACTTATAATAAAGGAATGTCAACAAAGGTGGCGTCAAAAGTGGACATCTTATTATTGCACAAAATTAAACCACATAAAACATAACACTGACAATTGGACATTTCCCTTCGAAATCCTTGGAAATTCGAAGTAATAACAACCAGACCGAGAATAGGACACACAAAAATCTCTCGCAGTTTTCTAACGTCAAGGGAAGAACCTCCAATATGCACAACCTGSGGTGTWCAAGTAACCATCGAACACATCCTCGCCGATTGCCGAACATATCTCAATATCCGAACAAGCTTCAGACTGCCCGAATCATCACTTTCAGAAATATTAAACAACCTTCCTCAATCCATTACCAACATCATACAATTCATCGCAGCCGCCAATCTACAAAATTTAGTATAATTTAGATACAGATACAATTCATGTAATTTTTTTCTTTTTTATATATATTTCTCGCTGTAAACCCAATGGCCCATGTTGCCGAGGGTATCATCAATGGAAAAAAAAAAAAGAAAAAATGATGAAAAAAAATTAAATACACTTTGTTAAACGTCAGAATGTTGTAAAGTCGGGCACACGGGCGTGACCTYGCGGACGTACAATGAGATACAAAATGGTTGACGGCTATTGCRCTTGAGGGCGCCACGATTATACGAGTAAACGAGTCACCGCGATCCATATTTAGGACTTGGCAAAAATTATTGTAAAARTTACTCACCGAATTCACGAGAAACAATATTATGTTTCAAGCTAACGACCACCCGCGGAGGTACCTCCATAGACTCGTTTTAAGTTTCGATTGTCATCAAAAATCTATGTATTGAAAACAGGTAAAACCGTTTTCCGATAATTATTTGGGCTTATTTAAGTTCAACATATAAATYAACAAATATAATTTATAAATAAACTCATCTGTTCGGTGACCAACGTAGTTRGTCAATAGCTATAAATAATCACCTCTTAACATAAAATTCATAATATCCATAATAATACCATTATTTATATAAATAGCATTAACTTATATTAGCCTTCCTACTTATACCTATTATATCGCGTCTGTATAATAGATTGTAAATATCTATTTTTTATAAATAAAACACATGTTTCTGACGCGATACCAAACGCTTCAAAAACTATATTGATTTAAAAATTATAATAATAAAGCATATATCTTTGTGAATATAAATGTGATCACAGTAATTTCCAATGTTAGAATTGACAATTATTATTCAAATGTATGAATATTATTTCATATTATACTATTACACATGTGTAGTGTTAGAAGTACACAAAAAAAACGTGAAATATTGAATTTTTTTCTAACACAATATTATTAATGATGATTATTTAYCAATAACCTAATCAAAGTAATTTGACCATCACTAATGAGTTGTTAGTAACTGTTTTCGCCTAATTTTATAAAATTGAGAAGGTATAGGTAAGTTATGACAATAATTATACGTAAAAATAAAAACTTATTTACAAAAATATAATATACATATTACATTATAATACTGAAATATCTCACGCATTTAAAATATTTCATGAAATTTTCAAACGCGATACACATCATACGAGTAATTATTAGAATAACGACGTATTATCCGTAGTATTAGTTTAACGGTGAATTTATATTTTCATGAATAATACCATAAATTGTTCGTTACTGCGCATTATACATTAATATTTACTATACCCGAAAGCTTATTCAAAATATTTTGACAAATTTTATGATATTAAAGCCATCACCTATTCACTCCGTTGTATATAGTACGCCGGCACTGATTTGAGTGGATGATAGCGATATATAGTGATATTAATAACATTTTAATTTATCGTAGATTTGTGAATAATTATGTGTGATTTGTTTCTTGGACAAATATATTTGCCGATAAATTCAAAATGAGTACGGTTAATAAAAAAAAAATAGCGTTGCCTATAATCTATATAAAACCCCTAAAGTAGCGAATGTGTACAGAGTCCTCCTAAGGAGTTTAAGGTGTTTGGGAACACAACATATTATGTTGCCAAAGAATTATTTGAAAAGCAATTTTTGCCATCAGTTTTATAGTGTCCTGCGTTTAGCTTCAGGCCAATAAATATGAACCACAATCGAGCGACTATACATATGTATGTACACCCATGGAGGACGGCGAGATATAGGTACTATTCATTATATTATTTATATCTAACATCATATTTTTCACCCATAATCGAACGAATCGATAAAGGGTTAAACTTTTATTGTTTATAATTATATTTTTTTTTTAGATTTCAAACAGATTCTGGGATTGAAATATCTGGACTTTGAGGTCCTATAATCTTATATACGGTAAAACCTATACTGTATCTTTGGTTTAAAAATTGATCTGTTAATTCATATCGCCAATGAACACCTTTACTTTGATATATGAAATAATGTGTAAGTTTATACGACTCATGTACACACACGCACACACATGTGCGCGCGCGTATTTTGTCAACCAGTAAGGCAGTAAATATAATATTTTGTTTTATTTTGGTGGGTAGTTATTTCTTTTTCGTAAATGTTACAATATATTAATAAAATAATACTCAGATAAATCAAATAAATAAAAAGGTATAAAATCCAAAACCATATTGACGAAAAAACAATGGTCGTCTCGTAATAAATCTCGATTAATATTGAATATCTATTTAGCAATAGGATTTCACGTTTTATGTCGAATTTCGTCCTCGAAACGTGACCGGTTGTATATGTTTGCTAATAGTAAACGTACTCGTAAAATGTATCTTTTCTAGGGACACAAGTACGTACCTATATGCATTACTCGGCAGTATTTCTCGCTTGAATACGATAGTTTCCGTTGAGAATTATTAGTGCTGCATCCGTTCGCTTGAATAACCAATGAAAACATCATATAAGTAAGTAAATTGTAGTGGTTTTTTTTTTTTTTTNATCCGTTCGCTTGAATAACCAATGAAAACATCATTTAAGTAAGTGGACTGTAACGTTTTTTTTTTTTTTTTTTTAATACAATAATATTTTTTGTATAAAAAGTCTGTCTTTGAAAATTACGTGTCTCGAAATTATTTCTAGGTCGTCAGGTTTTATCGTGTTGGACTTGTTGTCGTCGGCTCTGAACCTATAGAAAATAGATAAATTCCTTTTGATATTTTATTTGTTTAGCTTCCCGACCACAATTATACGTCATCGTTATCAATCTATATAAACAACGAATAAAAACACAGTGGTCAATTTGAATTTTATAAATAACAAATGGAAGGTTTTATTTAAAATTTACACGTACAGTTGAAATACAAAATATACATTGGCACTATTAAAGATTTACATATAAACGCGTCGGGGTTCTGATATAATCGGCACAATATTCGCCGTCGTATACGCGCGTAAATAACATTTTTTTAAAAATTTTTTCTCCATTACATTACATAATAATAATAATAATAATAATAATAATATAATAATACAGATATAATCATAATAATATATTGTAATAATATAGTAATACGATATTAAACCGTCGACGACGAGTAGAGCACAATAATAAAATATACGTACCGTTGTCGTACGACAATAATCACAATAATCATTATTATTGTTGCGACGCCGAAATGTATATGCGACTCGTATATTATGGGTATATAGGTCGGAAATGGGCGAATGATATTGTAATGATATGTTTCGCTCCCGTGGACCTGGGTGTACGTGAATCAGTGGTAGGAACGGGGGGTTAATTTTGATGGGGAGGGTGACAATAAAAGTACAACACGACGGTAATATAACTATTCACCGCGGCATGATGGGAGGCGATGGAAACGAGGTAAGTTACCACACTTCGACACGACGTCATAATAATAGTCGTAATATGCAATACTATTGTTATAACGGATGTCCGAATCGCCGGTGAACGACACCGATCGACGGCGAGCGTGACAAACACACATAACATTACGTCATTACGACGCAAAGGTATTTTTTTTTTTTCTAATACACCCTAACACATCACAAAAATAATATTTTTATAATATAATTTGAACGCTATTCGTCGTACGGCGATGGGGTCGGGCGCGCTCTGCCCCGGGTTGGCGGCGGCCGAGGTTGTCGTCGTTTTCTGTTTTTAACGAAAATCGGTCGAAAAAAACTTCACGAGATGTTTTGCATGCTCCCGACAGTGCTTGCCTCGGTGTAGCACGGTGACCTCTGCTGCTGACCGACCACGTCCGGCGGCGAGCAGTCTCGGCCGTATCCGTTGGCATAGCTGTTGGTCATGGGTCCGATGATTGTCGGGTCTACGTAGTGATAGCCGTTGGACGAACACGTGGTGCGCATCTGAAACGACGACAGGACACAGGTCATTAGGAAAGTCGTGTCAAATTTTAAGAGGGGGATGGTATAGTGAGGAGAAGGGAAGGTGCAATGAGAATTGTCAACCTTCAGTCTTTGTGTGCAGCTGTAGGTAGGTATAATATGATATAAGACAAATATATAAGTCGTACGATTGTTAGTGTTTTTTTTTTCTGTGATGTTTGCAGTCCAAAAGTGTCATTAAAGGGTGGATTATAATATTTTCATCAATTTTGTTCCTATTACAAATTATATTATATTCGATAAATAAGCTTCACGCGCTCTATACGTCTCATCATGTTATTTTTCAATAGATTATAATTTATATTATAATTTTAAATAAAAAAATGATAAAAGAAGTATAATCACAAATAGACCACATGAATTTTAGTTCTCGGGGAGATTAACGTATTAGTTTTCAAAGAAATGTTAGTGCTCGGTAATTCTATCAATTTAATTCCCCTGTTCGCATAACACGGAGGTTGGAATAATTGTGCTGTGTCAAACGTAGGTAGTATTTGTATAAATTTATAGAATTATTCTGTATTTATGTGAAACAGATAAAAAAAAAATAGCTAAGTTCAAGATTGGCTTTACATAGAAACATCAACATAAATATTGATAATATATTATTTTCATTTTTTTTTCTCAAATTACATACATAACAATAAAATGCATAAAACTGAATAAAAATTATCTTCTTTCCGTAAGCATATCTTGCGTTGAAGGTAGAGAGTTAACTAAAAAAAAGTTGAATTAATTTTTATATATTGTTATAATTAATCTTAATAAATTTTGCTTATATGATTTTACGATAATTTATGTTAGTCACTATGTTTATTTTATATTTTATTTACAGCTCCTGATACAACACAAACAATTCTAAATCGGTCAAAAGATAATATTTTCGATAAATTTTTAAGTTTAAATACCTACTCAAGTCAGGAGTACTTGTTTATTTTCAAAAGTTTAAGCATTTTATAACGATTTTAGTTCCTCCCTCTCTTCATAAAACTAAGTAAGATACGCTCCTGAATCCAAGATTTATCTATTTAAATCCAATTGTATAGAATTTTAATTTTATACGAAGATTATTTTTTACATTTTAGGATTTTAACAGATAGGTATCGACGGTATCGTTTATATAATATGAATATTAACATAGACATTACACATCCATTAAATTCGTATTTTCGAGAATATTTTAGTGGTGGCGTATTTGTGGGAAGGTTGCTTACCAGGGCTCGCTGCCTAGACGAATATGGTGGGTAATTATTGAATCTCGAACCGCTTTTGTTGCTGTGGTGAGACACTTCGCTGAACGTTTTCCGGCCACAACCGCTCAGAACGACTGACACAGGAACGCCTTGCATGCTCCCACAATCGTCTACAAACATGATAAATTATAAAATAATAGTAAAACAGCTTTATAATATATCTTTTGAGTTATGTCTCCTCATCAAACGATAACGAGCAGTCAATATCAAACAATTTAATTTTTAAATATAAAATCCGTTGCGCAAACAAAATCTCATATTAATAACATGCACAAGTTATGTCTGATTTTAAACTTTTGAAACCTTATTTTATTTAACGGTTTTTTTTTTCATTATTCGAGGTGATTATATTATAACTATTTTTTTTTTTAAATTTAATATTCATTCAACGCATAGCTATAAAATTTACTCGAATAGCTGGTTGCATACATACTGCTGTTATTATAGGCGTTTTACAAAAGTAATTAAATTTTGTATTTTTTTTTTTTTTTTACTAGAAGTTTATTTTCATTATCACATTTCTAGAGATACGAATAAAAAAATAATTTTAATTTCTTGTTCAATTCATTTTCTAAGTATTTTACAATGGTATTGATCGTTGTGTCTTACATATTCAATAATTTTGAGTTACTAAAAAATAAACTTAATACTATTCTAGTTTATTTTTATAATATAAAATCGTTTTTAATGTATTAATGAATAATATTTATTTTCATAAAACATATGTGTACCTGCGCAGCCCTGACAGTCGTTATTACTCGAACAACAGCTGTACCCACTTTCAGAATAGACGTTCTGATTACGGTTATAAATATTGGCTGAAGCGTAAGCTGTGTCATCGGAATTGCGCCTCATCTGAAGAAAAAATAATATAATTATCAATTTAGTCAATCGCGTAGATTTGAAATTGGTTAAATTTCAAAATCATATTTATTTTATTTTTATTACATTTCTAGAACTCGAGTTTGACACTAGCGTAGTCGTGGCGTAAGGTGCTGGGGACGACAGTTCGCGATCCTTTAAAAATGTACTCATCGTGTTCGGATTCACTTCCGCATAGTCGGCAATTTCCGGCAAGAGCTGTTGGCTTGAATCTTTTTCGTTACTATCAATATCATGATGCATCCTGGAAAATATTCAGATTAATAGTATTTTTATTCCCTCCTCCGAAACATTATGAAAACGAATATTATGAATATTATTATGATAAATACCAATTGGGTTTATGACACGAGTTGGCGTCGATGAAGAGACACCGTTGACTGTTCGACACGCTGTGTTCGGATTGCAAAAACGACGCTACCTGTCCTCGGTGAGACACGTCCAATGTGGTTTTGAAACCAGACGTATATGACAATTTGTTGGCAGGGTTTAACGAATCTAAAMAGGCGCGTGGTTAGTCAATTTTCCAAAACGCGTGCATCGTGGCGAATGAAAAAAATACCAAAAACATAGTCACCTCCTAAGTGGGACTTTTTTGCGCCCAACTGACGGTATCTGACAAAAAGCACGGCGGCTAATAGTATGACCATAAGTGTTATGACTCCGGCCAACAACAGAATGAACCACGGTTCGGCAACAAATTCTTTGATTTCTTCGTGATCAATGACTGCGTCGTTAAATTGACTAAACAATATTGAAAAATGCCACAGTTAATATTAAATTGTTTATACAACATAAAGGCGTTTGATTAGAAAAAAAAAATACGAGTCTTAGTGTGGTGATCATACTTTATTTGGTTCATAGAGTCCGTCGGAAGTATGATCGAATCAGTGTATGGGCCGAAACCGACTTTCGTCGCTGCCGCAATCATGACCTTATACCGTACACCCGACGTGAGGTTGGTCAGGAGTAGAGTGGGTGTACTGGCACTGACCGTCACGTTGCTCAGCACGTCCCAACTGGCACCGCCCTGTATGACTACCTGGTAACTGGTAATGACACCGTTGTGCGAGTTGTCCGGTGGTGGATTCCATTTAAGGTACACCGCGCTGGAGTTGTACGCAGTCGGTTCGACGTGTTGAGGCGCTTGAGATGGACCTACGACGAAAAAAAAATTATATTTGACAAGTGTTCGGGTATAGTAATAATTAGCCTCGGATAACATAATTTAATAATTTTTGTATTGTCCTTACAGTCTTCGTAAGTTTTTGCAGTTCTTGAATTTGACGGTCGACCTTTGATGTGTCTGTAGTACGGCACCAAGAAAAATAGATATGTGACCGACGGCTGTAGCGAGTTAATCACGTACGCCCCCGATAGCTCAGTGGCGTTCGACAAGATTTTCATGAAAGTTACATTTTGGCCGGTCATGTTCTTGCTGCGGTAGTATAGATAAAAACCTTCCAAAAACTCTCCGTTGAGGATCTGAAACGATGATTCATAATTATAGTTTACTGATAATAATGGTTGCTGGTCGCCGCCTGATGGACCAGATGCGGCGGGTTATCTGACTTACCTCCCAGAAAAGTTTTATAGAAGTTGAGCTGACCGTCTTGATGTCGATGAGGTCTACGATATGACCACCGAACAGAGTAGACTTGGCGATGGACATGTCGTGGGAAAACGAAATGCTCTGACGGTATTCTGTGGGCAATGAAACGCGGTTGGACAGGTGGCTAGGCGCAGATAGGCCGTGAGAGTTTTCAGCGCGCACCACGAACAAGTAAGACTGGCCAGGTTTTAAGAACGACTGCGTGTAGTGAGTCGAGTGCAGTCTCCGAACCAACGTCACCCATCCCACGTTGTCGACGCATGAGAACATTTCCACCTAGAAAATCAAAATATGCCAATGACAAACGGACAAATCACATCACCGATATATTATACACCAGTGGTGCGCAAACTATTTTATCCACACCACCAAATTTATTTATTTTGATCATTTGACCCCTTTCCTATAAATATTTAATATTCATTTAATTTAATTAATCCAAAAAATTAAAACAGAAACAGAGCTTTATTATATTTAAAATTAAAAAAAAAAAATACAGAAATAATTATTATAATTAACATCTTAATATTTTAAAATTAAAAAATTACTGTCTCTGTCTGATCTAATCCTAATGAGTTTAAGGAATACCTGTTCTTGCATTGTAGATATGATTGATTCTATATTTGATTAGATATTTGACAAAGCTACATTTAAATCTGCTTCGACAATTAATCTGAAGCCATAATTGTTTTTAATTATTGCTAGTGTTGAAAATTATGTTTTGGATGAATAAATTTATGCAAAATGAAGTAAAATCGATATGGTTTGTTTTGATCATTCCGTATTTCAGTTTATATATTATAAAATATTAAAATAGTGAAAGAATCTACAYCAATTTGTTTTGAAATTTGTTACACATATGATTTTGTAAGATATCAACACCTCCAAAAATGCGTGTGCCATAACAAAATAGTGCATTGTGTACCTACTGAAAAATTGTACCTCAGTCGTCCACGATGTCCTAGGAATGCAGTACCCCGTGGATTATATTATTAACAAAATATTCCTAAGTGTTTGGAATTATCACCCTCCCCCCCTTTGTATTCTATGTTAACCCATTGAAAGTGGTGTACTAGAAGAACACTTTGCGTACCTGATAACCAAGAAGCGGTGACGATCCGACCTTGCTGCTACGACCCCAAGACAGTGTGACGGCTGTATCCGTGTGATTTATGACAACGGGTGTAYTCGGAGCACTGGGGAACGTTGACGAGTCCGGTGACCTAAAGAATCCCACGTTGGGATTTTTCGGTGATTCCATTTTCAGTTCGGCGCTCCACGTGGCCTTACCGTTGACGGAAGACGCAACGCATGTGTAAACACCGTTGTCGCTCTTTTGTAAATCTGAAAGCACACGATGGTTTTAATTTTGTCATTTTTTTCTACGATTATTCCCCTCATTTAATGTGCTTATTCATACCAACCAGCCTACGAATTCACTCATTACTTTCACTAACTCCATTAAACTTTAAAAGTTTAATGTAGGTATACAAACGAGTCATACTCGATAATTTAGTAATATGTTTTTTTTTTTTAATTTTACTGATATATTAAAAAAAATTCAATTCAATACACGATGACGTTTTCCATATGCATATCCGAGGATACTCACTCATTATTTGAAGTGTGCCGGATTCGGTGATGTTGATCCTAGCGATTTCCGTYGACAACGGGGAATCGTCCTTGTACCACGTGATCACTGGCTGAGGATTTCCGATAGCTTTGCATACTAGATTACCAATCGAACTGTACGGCAGCGTCTGATTTGCGGGTCCATATTCGATGATTGGTGGTAAGAACTCGTCGTACGCGGCTGCCGCCACTGTCAACGTGGCTCGCCACTCGTCCGATCCCGCCTCGTTGATTGCCGAACACATGACCACCAGCTGGTCGTGTTGTTCTTTTCTGACGTTCTGCAACAATCGTGTAGATACCAGTGTTAATAACAATAATAATTGTGAAAAAAAAACATTTCGCCGAAAATCGGAGTGTTTCAGAGAACGCTGTACGACTCGACGTAACAGTATTATAGGTGTCATAAAATATGTTGAAAAACTTACATGTACGACCAGCGTGGACACGGAATCTTTAGTGTCTTCGGCGTGGAATTCGTTCCAGCTCTCCTCGGGGAATAGCACGGTATCGTTGTCTTGTAATGACCAGAAAATCGTTGGTTTGGGATTACCCCTGACACCGCACTCGAATACTGCATTGCTACCGGCCGACACGTGTGTATCCGCAGGCCTTTGGGCGATTAACGGGACAGCTGAAATGGGACCGAACAAAATGTTAGTATCAGAAAGAATATCATGCAAATATATATGACGCACTATATTGTGTGTTACACTTCCGATCAACTTTGTGTAAAATTATATGGTAGATAAAAAAAATACCGTAGTATGCAATGTATTACAGATAATAATTTTGAAGGGTTATAGTGTGAATTTTTAATTTTTTTTAAGTTAATATTAAGGTACAGACTTAAAAAAAAAATTACAAATACTTATCAATCTTTATCCAATCGCTTTATTTAAATAATGTCGTTCTTATTAGATACTCCCTACAATTAGATGACTTCGTCGAGTAACCCAAATCAATCAATAAATTAATTATTTCATAAAATCGTAGAATTAAAAAACAATTTCTAGCACAACTCGCAAGTCAAACAGGAAATTTGGTTTGCTGCTACTTCCGATAAAGGGATTTTAAGTTGTTTGATTGGGGTGAATGCACATATTCAATGTTTTGTAGTATTGAGGGTAAAGGGTAAACACTTATTTGAATTAATCAAATATCCTTTGATATAAACAAAATATATATATAGTAGTATTTGCTTAGGTATTACTTATGAGTGGAATCAACGCATAGACATTAGGAAAAATGTCTATSAATTGCAACTATTGAATAGTTTTTAATAGAGTTTTGTGTGAGGAGTTACGTAAGAAATTTATGATTAAATTAAAACTAGTAATTCGTGATTCCATCAAATGATTCATTCTTTAAAAAAAAAAAACACATTCTACTCAACAGAATATTACAATATAAAATAATATAATACATTATATAAGAGCACTATAAGATGTAAAATGTTTGATTATTGTCATTGCCACACTTTTGTCGTGAGAAATAAATCTCTGGAGTTGTTCGAATACTGAATAAAAGCATTTTAGCGTTTTACATAGTTATACAGAATAAAAGAACTTCAATTTTATCATCGGGTGAAGACGTTTTATAAAAGTTGTTAAAAAGTTTTTGTTTTATTTTTCACAATATAGTTTTACTCACATAAAACAAAATGCGATGGTTTTATACTATACAAGTACATCAAATTATTTTAATTGTTACAACATATTATAATGGCCCTGTGCATAGCAATTATTTTATTAGTGGAAATATATTATTTGTTATTATATTTAATATAAAAATACAGCGTGCTTTAATGATTACAAAACTRTAGTTAGGTATAATAAATAATTGTACAAATTCCAACAAAATTTATTATGACACCTGCTACCTACGTAACATAATAGTATAACACACTGATTCCGAGTCGAACAAATGCGTTTAATGTATGTAGATAATTAGAAATTATTATAAAATGGAAAACGTCATTTTTGAATAATTTACCAAATAAATAATAAATTAGATGTAAAGCAATATATGATGTTTCAAACAATTTAACAAGTATTCGGAATATCCACCACATTACGTTATTAAACATGACAAGGGTAAAGCTGTTAATGTTTATAATATATGAAACGTGAAATTGCCACGCTAACATTCAAATGCGACGAAACAAACATATGTTCGATTCGAATGTTCGCCGACCACCGCGTTTCCGGCGACATCCTCTGTGGATTGTAAAACAACCAACTGGCGATTCTAACCGTAGTAATAATAATAGTTATAATTAAACAATATTAAATTGTCCCTAGAAATTTAGAACAAATGGTAAATAAATATAAATTTAATCGATTTTCATTTCAAACGGCTATCATGTTATGATTATGATCGTTGTATTAATATTATTGTTATTATCGTGTAAATAATGAATGTAGGTATATCCAATATCCATAATGCCCACGTGATATTCGATCACACTGTCTGTGCAGCTGTACAGTGTAACACTTGACCACCAAACAAATCGTCATTATACTCAAAGTCGTGATAATATTAAAGTAAATTATCGTAACTACCAATACCACGGTACACGTGCAAAATATTTTCTATTTATGTGTGTAACATTTATCGGACGATTTACTATTCCTCGAATAGCCTCGAATACGCGTCTAAGATTTAATAAATATTTTTTTTTCCGTCCGGCATAATATTGGGTGCATTGTCATGGGAGAGATATTGTCTGCGAATTTCCGGCAGCGTTTCGCGTTTTATTCGTCTTGAGAGACGGTTAGGCGAGGAGATTGACTTTTCGATCGTTTTTCGCCCTCGGACGACCGCCCCACACAGCGGGGGTAGTAAATAACAACAGTATTATTATCGACGAGCGTATTATAAATTATTCGCGTGGCACACAGTGCCAAACAAACTTTTCGGTTTACCCAGAACGAAATCCTCCGATTATCCTGCTGCGGCCCTGGGCGTGGACCTCTGAGTACAAACGGCTCGACTATTAATATGTAGTGTAGCCCTCTTCGGGGTCGACCATTTTCACATTTCGCCCACAAGCGTAAGTATTATTTTCGGTTGATTAAAACGGTAGTGTTTACTATAATTAATACCGTGGTTGGTTCCGTGGTTAGCCACCATGTGACTGAAAAAAAAGTGGTTTATCARCCGACCATGTATACCCCCACAGCCGGTGGTTATTTTYCTATACTCAAAGATCTACGYTCGTTTTGCYACAAAAATCGTATTGTCGTARTATTTAGTTTTTATACGTGTGAAAAGGAAGTAATATTATTATCTTGAAAAACGCACACGAGTCACTCCGAAATTGAGTAAAACGTACACGTTAACTGCAATTTTTGCTGACATATATATTATTGGATGACTTTCTGGTCCTCGAGTATCTACGCGTATAYCWATAGCTTATACGAAAAACGATATTTTYCCGTCAGGCGMAATGTGTGCATTGTCGRRYGAGAGATTTGATCGCAGGATATCAGTAACGTTTTGTTGTATTATTCACCTTAACCGTTGAACGCGGGATTGACTTTTCGACTGATATTTTTGCCCCCTCGTCGACCGTCCCACGCAGCGGGGGTGATAAATAACGACAGTATTATTATCGACGACCGTATATTGTTATGTGTACGTGTGGCTAACATTGTCGAACAAAATTTTCGGTCTATACGAAAGTTTTCCGACTATCCTGCGGTCGCCTTGGGTCCCTGAACAGTCTCTAATAATGATGTTATTGTGCAGCCTTCTTCGGGGTCACCGGCGTGCGTGTTTCTTTGGGCTGATCCGATTGCCGTCTGATTAACTAGCGTTGACAACGAGTAATAGTTATACCACGGCAGTGATAATATAGGTTGTATAGTGATGGCAAAAGTCCGTCTGACGACAGTGGTGGTGGGAGGAAAAGCGGTTTATCAATTYGCCCGAACGCACGCGGAGGAGACGGYGGTTGTTTCGGAAGAGTCGAAGACTTCCGTTCGTTTGGCAACGGATACAATAGARGACTCGCGTTCGGTCGCGAAAATCGTATTCGCAAGAGCGCAGCAAATTTTCTATATGTATAGCTTCTGGTGGTGGCCGTTTGATTAATGCGCGAGCTGCGATCTAGACAGTCTGTGCGCGAAAACGGGACTTTGGTGGTGACGACTGTGGAGGGTGGCGATGAAGAGGACGCTCGCGAAACAAAGGCCGCTGTGAGAGATAATGGGCCGAGCTCGGGAATAGAAGTTGCCGAATTGTTTATATCACTGCGGTGGGTATATACGACACGAGAGAGGTGTGGCTGTATATATATATATATATACATGTATTATAAGTATAATGTATATACATAAAGGCCCCCCGAGCCCTATTTATATGTGTACGTACATATTATATGTATATATATATACGAATCTAGCTTTATAAGGTTCTTTCAACTTGTGTATATATATATAATATGTATAATGTGTGTGTGTATGTATAAATGTTTTCTTGCCGGTTTCGAGACGGCAACCGTTGCCCCCGGCTGCGCGAAGACGCGTAGATAGGCACATTATATACGTGACCGCCGCTGGGGAGGTGGTGAAAAAAACTCGATGAAAGTTTCAACAGAGAAAATAATTAAAAGCTTAAGACCACCACCRCCCCKCGCAGATTGAGGAGAAAATCGTCTGCGGCGGTGTATGYACGCGTTATTATTATTATAGGTGCGTGGTGGCTTGCGGTAGAAGGGCGGCGCTCCGGCTAGCTAACGAGATAATCACGAAAAAAAAAAGTTTGCGCTTAAAATTCACGTTTATGTACACCGCACACGCACGGCAGCAGTGCTGCAGATAAAAGAAAATACTAGTATAGGTATATCATAAGAATATAATATTATGTTTTTATTGTGTTATATTGTTGTGATGGCGCTGCAAACCATATCGGTGGCTTGAAGTACTATATATTATAAAAACAAAAGATATTTACCGCGTCTACTGTAAATTATAATAACTGTTATTACATGTTTCTGCGTACCTATATTAAAAAACGCACAACCATGCGTAAACTTATCTAGCCAGACTGTTTTCGTGCGGGCTTATATAGGTCTCGTTCGGTGTAGCGATAATAATAATATGGCGAACGGAAAATGCAAAATTTATTAGTAACTCATAAAATGACAATATATACAAATTAAGCGGATGGATTTTACAAAGAAATTCACCATTATGAATTATGATGATCATATTATATATTCAGTTYATATTCTGTAAAGTCATATCTTGAAACATGAGGGGAGGGGGTTAATTTATATTTTCCAAGATTAGGTTGGGTATCGCGGTTTTGCCACTTTTTGCACAATCATATCGCATGACATTTATAAAGTGACGATCGAAAAAAAAATAAGAGCTCAAAGTTGCGTCTTACAATGCACTCAAAAACAAGTTCTGGCAGATATTGTTGGAGTTATAGACAAGTATTATTATTACACGCTGGGACATTAATATTCCATTAATATTCGATAGAAGGACATAGTTTGGTATAGTTATTTGTGACGTCTGTATAGGACTAGAAAAATGTATTCCAAAAACTCCTTATGTTAAACTTGAATTAAAAAGAAACGGAACATTTTCAAGAAAAAACAGTTCAAATTTGATTCATTCTTAACGTGACATTATTTATTTTACAATACATAAAAAATAAATTCGCTATGAACAGCGTGTGTATGTAATTTTATAAAGTACTTATTGTGTTAGGTATGGATTATTACGATTTTGTTTATGTCTGATCTCTTTAACCCACTTGTTTTATCTGAAAACATTAATGCTCCTGGTAGTAGAAATATCCTCTGTAAGTATACCGGYAATATAATAACTGTTGCGCGGAAGTTTTKAAATTACGATGTCGAACGGACCAGAGCGTTTCACCTCTGGCTTTTGGGAACTTCAAAATAATAATTATTATTATTATCGAATACGAAAGTTTTAAAATCGCTTGCGAATAATCAACACTTCCGGACCCTATTTTCGACTAACGGCTTTTCGAAGATAATAATATTGTGTTTATCTTTGGTTGTATTAGTTAGTTTTACGTTCCCGTATGCGTTAAAGCCAAAGATGAAAATATTCAAATCGAAAAGCAATATGCGACGCAGTTTGTTCACACCTATATTATGTAAGCACATTATTACCATCACGATCATCGGGTTCTGTGGTTTTTATGTTTAACACGTCGCCGTGTATTCGATRGTAATTATATTGTTATCAGTTTCCACCGCTCAAAAAAGTTTCAAGAGTTCGGTAAAATCAAAATTTACTTAACCACGCAATATTGCGTAGGTACACCAACAAAAACACAACTCCTATTTATTATTAAGTCGATTGAATAATTTAAGAAGTATAATATTTAGTTCAAAACGAGATAACCACTGCGTATCATCCTAAGGGATTGTGTTCTTCTTCGTAAAGTTTTGTTTGATGAAGTCAGCCCCAATTTTAGATGCCATTAATTATTGATCGAAATGCACGTCACGGTGTTTTATTTGCGGAAATGCTTAGAACATTATAGTTGTATTATTACTATATTTAATTAAATAATTGAACGTTTCTGGGGATAACTGAAATTTCATTAAACAGCAGTACTGCAGAGATTTCACGTAGATAAACTAGCTACTTTCTATGAAAAATCGCAGTACATGTTGGATTCTAGATTTTAGTTTTTTGTATTTCCCGAGAGTAAAACCGTGATATATTTCTTTTATATATTATTATGTGATCTTGTTACGAAATATTTAAATTACTATATACTTTATATGCTGTAAAACGTTTAGCTACTCACAGTGCACAGTGAGGGAAGACGCAGCGTTTACTTTGCCCTGGTGATTTTCTGCGTGACACACGTACTTCCCTTCGTCTTCCGGACTCACGTTGTCTAATCTCAAACTGCCGTCTTGCGTTATGTAAACGTGCTCGAACGTGTCCCTCTCCCCGGAAAGCTTCTCATTCCTGAAACATCCATCATTTTTATCGTATTAGTATCTCGAGATCATTTTTTGAATTTTTTAAAACCATAATGCCATAATATACTATAAAAGAAAGCTAGTTATAAGAAGAAAAAGAAAAGTCCACCGGAAAACGTAGTGTTTCAAAGACAAATGTTTGCTCAACACGATAATTTACTTATGGTTGAAGTTTTTTAGTATGAGGATTTAAAAAAATAATTGTTTTTGGTGAATAAAAAATATTTAGGAGTGATAGGTCAATTAACAAGAAGGCAGAACGTKAAACTTAGCGAATACGTCCTACAATTATTTTTCACTCAATCGCACGTAAGTGTGATCTCACTACGGAATCAAATTTTCAAAATCAAAGTTATCAAGTTAAAACTATTTGTAAATTAGGGTCGTAACAYTGATTTATTATATATTTTTATTTTTATTTAAAATGAAATTTATTACATACAATACAATATTTTAGTCATTAATCGTGTTAACTGTCAAACAAATTTAAGTGCTACAATACGAATAATTTATACATATTAAATTAATAGTATGTATAAAATATTTTGACATTATGCTAATTATCTATAATATTGATGCAGAGCCAACAGTGAGGGTCCTATAAAAAGTAAATTTGCTATGTTGTTAAAACCAACAACAGATCAACGGGGCGTCCTACAAAAAAAAAATCAGTATGCATGATCAAAACCTCATTTGATAGAATAAATTCCGTAAAATGAAATATCCATTACAATYCCGCATATCGGATAAGATTACCGCTTTTTACTGGACTTGTCAATGTCGTTATAAACGGTTTCCACGCATAAATTACATAGCTACATTAAGTTATATAAATTGAATTTATTAATTAAAAGTAAGCAGTAAAAATTACGAAATTTTTTCAAAAGTTTTTTTGTTATCCTATTGTTAATTTAAAAAAAACTATAAATAGATTTTGTTTTAATATTTAATGAATTGGACTCTTTACGAAAATAAAAAASAACGAAATTAATTGTTAATATTTTAAACAACATCATTAGTTGTTGATCAAAATTATAATATTAATTACCTATAATGGCTAGTCCTTATGTGTTGTGCTACTCCAGTGTTTGATATTTTTTTCCAAAATACTTCTGGTTGAGGAGTCCCGCCGATTTTGCACTGCAATTGTACGCTAGAACCGGCCATGGCTATAGTGTCCTTTGGAGCTTGTATCATATACGGACGTACTATATTTTATAAACACACGAGTAATGAACAGACAACAAATGAGTTTGAAATTAACTTCTAAGGACGTAATTTAGTACTTACTCTGAGTTGCCAACAAAATAGGTTTGGATTTCCGTACTCCTGCTAAGTTGCTAGCTACACACGTGTAAGAACCATCATCCTCAGAGTTCACGTCTCGAATGATCAAATTTCCAYTGTCTTCAATGTACCATCTACAATTTCGAACAGTTTTAAGATCTATACGTTTTTTGTTTTTTTTGTTTGAAAATAGAATACATACATTTTGATCAATTTAAATACAGGTATCGTGGTACCGGTAATATATTGCATACCATCTTTATTTTATGCAATCWTAATGAATATAATATAACATTATACTTATTTCAAATTCGATCTAATGTAATYGAGTTCCATAAAATACTAAATAAACCAATTAAATTTAAATATTCCAGATCTTTATAAGCGTAAATAGCATTTATACGTTTTCTTTATTGCAATTTAAATCGACGATATTCTCATAATGATTCCCAGTTGCTTTGTTASAATCCTATATCGTAGTTAAGCACATTTTATTTTATATTCAAGAAAATTTGGAATAACAGTTTCAAGGATTTAATACGCTATAATATTCTTCTGTTTTGGTTTAGTTCAGTTAAATAGTTMATYAGTGCGAATGCGAAAAGATTAATTAATAGATTGCCGATTATAAGCTTTAACTGAAATTCAAAGATACAAACATAAAACAATGGATGTCTTTCCTGCATAAAGTTTTAATAAATTAATACAAMATTTTCAACTATTATAAATTACTAAAAATTATCATAATAATATAACCAGTATGCCTACACTTTTCAGACAAAAATACAGAATATTAGGATATAAGTYATATAATAATATATAACAAGATATAAATGAATTGTAACTTTGGTTAACATAATGTGAAATTATATTTTGAACGGAAAGTATCTGTTGAATTTGATCGGATTAAAAAAAAAAAAAAGAAAAATTGGATCACAAAAATATTATTAATGGCAAYTCACCTTTTTTTATCGTCGACTGGAATAGCTTGACCGTTTTTGTGCCACGCTACCGATGGTTCGGGATGTCCTTTGGGTGGATCACATTCCATGATGGCCGTGTCACCGGATGCCGGATTCACATCTTTGGGCTGCACTCTAAAATCCTGTTTTAGATCTGCAAAAATAACGATCGAGTGGTGAATTTCAAGCAAACTTTTCRGTAACCAACATTATGCGTGGGGGAAGAGAGATAAAAAGCAAAAAATAATAATAACCGTAATAAGAAAAACAACGTTTTCAGCGTACGTGCACTGCTTAATGCGCAAAAAACAGGTGCAAACGTTAATACTTGCGCGCCCAAGTCGACACCCACCCCCCTCCC